AATAAAACCAAAAAAAAAGGAACAGATTTGCTATCATCACAACAAGTTTTTACAAAGGACAAATTTGACTGTAATATAAAATACGATGGATTATTAACCGATTGTGCGCAGTTAAAAACAGGCATAAAACTAGAAAAATAAAGTATGGGACAAAAACCTAATGTGAATGAAATATAATACTGGCTATTTTTGTATAAATCGGTTTGAACAAGACTGTCCTACGTTTAACGATCTGACTTCCCGGCGCTGGTATTACTATGTTCGCATTTTATGTTCTACTTTCAACTCTTAGCGAGGTTCAAAATACTATAGGTGCAGAGAATCACAGTGAAGCCACAGGACTGAATTTGCGCAGGTAAAAAACCCAAGCCGAAGGCTAAAATAGATAGCAAAATAGATAGCTCTCACAAAGTTAAGAGACTTCTCTCTTAAAGTAACATTAGAGTGAGACCATTCAATTCCTTGGCACTACTAATGTTTTTTAACTCGTTTTTGTCTTTTTTTATAAAAGGCGGTTATGCTTTACGGGAACGAAATGTGGAAAACCGTGTTTGCTGTACGGGAAAAGTCAGGGAGTATCTTAAGAATCGTATTAGATCAGCAGGTTGCAGTACATCTCCAGTAAGTTTTCGTAGTTCCGACGTGGCATAGCCGATGTTGTTAATGTGGTATATGCCAGAAGGAAATGCTGGGGAGACCAGAAAAACAAGCTGCTGAATGACACTCACGCAGTGCTAAGCTCCCACACGGAGCGGTCAGTAAAACAAAAAGTTTCATTTCAGCTCCTATCTAAAAGTGTATAAATGCGAGAAGCTCGAAAGGGAAATTATCAGCAGTACTGATAGGGAAAGGCAGAGCAACAATGAAATATCAGCTGAACAAAAAATCAAAGCGCATGTTGGTGACAGGTTTTAAAAATGCCTGTCGTCGGCGTGTACAGTGCTCGTACACTGCCTCTTGGTGTTCCTCGACAGTTTTTCTATTATACAAAACACGGTAAGTCTAGTAAAAGAATTCTACACAGAAAAGTGACATTGGAGAGCAAATCACAGAAAATATTGACGGACAATAAATCTCTAATGGAACAACACACAAACTCCAGCATACACTTACTGAAGCTATGCTATCCATGTATCAAAGCTACACTTTTATGCAATTATCTGTACGGCATATCTTAAAATACTGGATAGTGTATCTAAAATACTACACGGGGTATCTAAAATAATGTAAGGAGCAAAACTGGAACCCGCACGAGTATCTTCAGTGACTTCAATTTGCAACTTGTTGGACCGAAACATTTTAATCTCAGCTAAACTATTATTTCTCCGCATATATTCGTGTTTTAACCCTTCATATTCTCAAACATAATTTACAACCTACCAAAAACTTTTGTTGACTAAAATTTATAATTTGTCTTTACTCAATGAAAAATCGAACATTAAATGTCAAATACTGAAATAAAAAAAATGCATTGCAAGTGTCGATAGAAGACTTCACGAGGCAAACTCTATTCCTTGTTCGTATCAACATAATGCAGATGAAAAATTCAGAATTAGTCTATTTGCGTTGCCGAAGTTAGTTAATCTAGTTTGGTTTTCTGACACAGGCAGCGACGGAAAACAACAGAAAAATCTAGAAGCATTCACAAGAGCTGCTTCACAAAAAAATTTTTTTTGCCCGCACTGGCAATTCGAAATCTAACTATGCAACGGGTATAAAAATCTTTGATCTTTGGCACCGCCTCGTGGATTATGATTCGGTATCGTGAATTGTTAATTGAGTATTTGCTATCGAGTTTGATTATACGTCCGCATGTGCTGGTGAGAGATTGGTATCTCAGCCGAAACGCGAATACAGTAGACGCACAAATCAACCGTCCGACTTAGGTATAGGGGGCGAAAGATTAGAGGAACTTTCTAGTAGCTGGCTCTCTTTGAAGTTCCCCCAGGGTGCCTAGAGCACAGTAAAAGCATATTTATATTTGGTAAAGCGAAGAAAAACAAATTTGCAAAAATCCTTGCAGTAAAACGGTTACTGTGCGGATTTCATACCGGGAGATCTCGTTATTTCTCTTGACCCAAAAATAATTCGAACCAGTTTGCCCGTGTTGGACAAATAATAAATGACGAGCCTTAACACTGCAAATGAGGTAGTTAGACTTTCCCCGAAAAATAGCGGTTGATTAACAATGAACAATGTGAAAAAACACACAGTGTTAATTTTGCTCGAAGTGACTTTCTAAGTTATTCGTCTCGTCGAAAGTGCCAAAATCTTAAATTTATAGCTAAATTGCTTCTGAAATTAGGGGTTAGCTTGCCTACGA